CTCTCACCCTTCTTTCTTCTGTCTCCTCTCTCTGATCCACTCTTCTGCCTTCCTCTTTGGTTTTTAACATCTTATGTGGTTAAAATGGGCTCACTTAAATTATCTAGAATAATCCCTCATCTCAAGGTCTATCATCTCAATCACATCTGCAATTAAAATGGGCTCACCAGATAATCTAGAATAATCCCCCAGCTCAAGGTCTATAACCCAATCACATCTAGAAAGTCCCTTTTGCCATCTAAGGTAACATATTCACAGATTCTAGGGATTAAAATATGGGCTTCTTTGGGGGAGCATCACACTGCCAACCACAGGCAGATTCTGAATTTACTCAGCCCCTCAACAACATTAGGAAATCAGGAGTTTTTCTCCTGACTCTCCACTCTGCTGTCCACAGTTTCAGGTTTATCCACGTCTGGTTCCTCCCACGGTCGTAACAGGGCTGCCAGCAGCAACTAGGTCTACAGGCTTCCTTGCTCAAACATCCACCAGGAGAGATACTAACTTCACCTTCTCAGGATCTCCGAGTAACTGTCATGCTGTGTTCCACTGGCCCATACTGGCTAGACTTGCACATAAAGACAAGCGGAATGGGACAAAGAACGGTTTAGACTAAGTATCTAAGATGGTTTAGCATTGGTGGGAAGACTGCAGTCTACCACATTCTACCTGTCTGGCTCTGTATTTATACACACCCTTCTTACAACACATACACTTTCAAAAACGCACTTGTCCACACAAAGCACTTTCAATCCACCTCACAAGAAGGGGTAACCCAAAGTCGCATCTAGTTACCGCATCTAAGTCCAGATCCTTGATGTGATACACCTTCATTTTCAGAGGAGAAAATGACAGTATTCATGCAGCATATGCCAAAAGGTTAAGTCAGCAATGCCTGAATTACATTAGTGAAGGAAAATATAGGTTAACTACAATTAAATTCAGAAAAGTCAAGAACGGCACAACAATGATCAGTGTTAACTAGCTCTTAGCACAAACATATCCTTCTACTCAAAATATAGCTAGGATTTCTTGCCCTCAAAATTCTAAAGGCTAGTAACCATAGCAAGAGATCTTGTTTAAACAATAGTTGAGTCTGAGAATTTCTGTCTCCTGGCAACAAGCCTTTGAGATCTCCTGACCTCTCCCTCCGAATGCCCTGAATTTAGAATGGCTTTTACCTATTGGAGGATTCCAATTTGAAACTGCTCCTTCCCCCAGACTTAATCTAAGATACATATTTACTGTATACACTTGACTAGCTTAAGAAAATTCTTAAAACTTGGGAGAGGTCTAAAGCTACAGATTTATGTTTTGCTGCACATGTAACTCCTATTACATCTTTTAACCCATATTCATACTAGCTTTGGAAACGATGAACTCTTCTACTTCAAGCTAATCTCGCAAAGCTGGACTGAGAACCTAGCCCACAAGCAGAAAGAATCTTTCTTACTGAATTTGAATTTTCTCTGATTTTAAAAAGACCTCTTGGGTCTAAACAGGAAATGGCCATAGAATTCTAACATTCTAAATTTTTTTTGTACAATTTCTCTTCTGAAGCACACAACCTATGCCCCATAGTACAAGAAAAATTGTATCAACAACTTCCCATGTGAGAACAGTGTGGGTCCTTACGGCCCTTCTCCCATCCGTAAAATCCAGATTTTAGAATCTTTTACTTGCAACTATCCCTTTCCTAGTACCAAATTTAGTACCAGTTAGAATGATATTGACTTTAATAGAAACCCATTTAAACTGGCTTAAAGCTAAGTTAACTTCTTAAGGTATATAACCAGAAATTCTGCAATCAGGCAGCCTTTATCAGAGCTGATTGATTTTGTGGCACCAGATGTCATCAGAGATCTAGGATCTTCTCATGTCTTTATTTTTCTGTCCTCAGCTTAAAAAAAAATCAAACCTGTTGCCGTCGAGTTGATTCCAACTCATAGGACCCTACAGACAGGGTCGCACTGTCCTAAACAGTCTCCAAGGAGCGGCTGATGGATTCAAACTGTCGACTTTTTGGTTAGCAGCCAAGGGCTTAACCACTGTGCCACCAGGGCTTCATCCTCAGCTTAGGGTCATGCTAATACTAATCTCATTATCCCAAGAGTGCTAATATTATCAGCTAGAATAGCATGCTTCCTTGTTCACATCAGACTGGCTTCTCTCCCAGAGAAATCAAACAAACCTGTCTCCTTCTTATCACTGGCCCAAACTGGCTTAGTTCTGCCCTTCTTTGGAATCAATCATTGAAAATGTGGATGAAATTTTCTATGGAATGCTCAGGCTATTCATCGGGGATGAGATGTAAACTGAGATATTAAGTACAAATTCAACCACAGCATCATTATCAACCTGGGTACTGACTATCTTTAAAATGATATCCTTTCACATAAATCCGAAATGTGTTTAAGAATAAATTATCTTAAAAATGAAACAAAACAAAAAAGGGCCAACTTGATACAAATAGGGCAATGTTCTCAAGCAGAACCGAACTCAGAACTTAACTCAGTTAAGCCAGTTCAAGTTTCTTCTCTTCAAAATCTTTCTAAAGCCTCTCAGGAAGAATAATCAATCCCTCATCTGTGTGCCTACATATTGTTTTACTTTTAGTTGTATGTCTTTCTCCACTAGAATGTAAATTCTTTAGGGCTGAGAAGCAAACTTTATTTACTCACTTTTCTCCAAGGGTATCTAATGTCAGACACAGTAAACAAACGTTGGAAGAATGAATGAATACGTATGTTTGGATTATTAAGGTGTTTCTGTTTATTCCATACTTAAGAAGTTTGGATTATTAAGGTGTTTCTGTTTATTCCATACTTAAGAAAGGGTAGATAGAATGTAGATAACAAGTGGAGATTGTTCTTTTTGGAGCTTCTTGCTTTTCCTGAGGCCACAAATTTATTAACTTGTTACACTCTCTAAGGGGCGATAAACATAACGGCAGACGCAGTCAATGTTATTACCACTCTCTTTTATCTCTCCATTCTATTTTCTTCTACTAATCATTCTGCTTATTTTTATTATCCACTTGTGTCTTAAGGCCAAAAATGATTCAAGGGTACTTCCTGGCATCACTGATTAAAAAAGTGAGACAAAAATTTAACTCAATGTTACATTTAAGTACCAACTGTGTTGTCATTCAGTTTTACACTGTATATCAAAAACAAGATAAAATTTGCAAGGTAGTAGAGGGGAACGAAACACAAACCAACCGGGTCACAAAACAAGTATAAAGTACTATGGAAAACAAAGGAGTCTGTCTAACTGGGAAACACCTAAGGAAACAATAAACTTTATACTTGTTGGTCATCTAAGAGGTCTTAACATATCCAGTAGTAAGTCCCTGGGGGGTGCAAATGGTTAACACACTCGGCTGCTAACCAAAAAAGGGTAGAGGTTCACCCAGAGACACCTGGGAAAAAAGATCTGTGATTTACTTCCGACAAATCATCCACTGAAAACTCTACGGAGCACAATTCCAGTCTGACACACACAGGGTCACCATGAGTTGAACTGACTCAACTGCAACTGCACTGAGAACATACCCAGTATTGCTGGGTTGTTGTTGTTAGGTGTCATCCAGTCAGTTCTGACTTACAGCGACCCTATAAGTAACAGAATGAAACACTGCTCAGTCCTGTGCCACCCTCACAATAGTAGGTATGTTCGAGCCCCTTGTTGCAGCCCCTGTGCAATCCATCTCATTGAGGGCCTTCCTCTTTTTTGCTGACCCTCTACCAAGTGTGATATCCTTCTCCAGAGATTGGTCCCTCCTGATAATGTGTCCAAAGTATGCAAGATACAGTCTCACCATCCTCGCTTCTAAGGAACATTCAGGCTGTACTTCTTCTAAGACAGATTTGTTCATATTTCTGGCAGTTCATGGTATACTCAACATCCTTCACCAATACCATAGTTCAAATATGTCAACTATTGGGTAGTTCTAACTTTTCTCTAACACTAACTGGGAGAGATGACTGGTTGAAAATTTAGTGTTGGGCAGTGTAACATTCTGAAAAAGCACAAAATTTCAAAATGCCTAAATAACCCAAATTAGGGAATAATATCAGCAATACATTTTTGATCAAATGTTCTTTCAATCTGAAAGTGGCAGAATATATCTAGTCTTTTCCACTTATGCTCCAAGCCGTGGCTTTTAAAGGAAGAGAATAAAATATGCACTCATTCTGTCATTCCCTCACTCCAATCCCAAATCTCCAAACTGACACCAAGCGGGGCAGCATGTCTGAATCAAGAGGAATTGACTCAAACTAAAAAGAAACCAAAATATTTCAAAATGAGTTCTAAATGTGGGTCTATCAGCTAGATTTTAAGTTGAAAAATGCAAAATGTTGAAGGAGGCAAGTTCAGAAAATGAAAACACTAAAGCGCAAGATCTGTAAGTGTAACCACAAAATTTTTACGAGAACTTTGCTTATGTTGTTTTTCTTACTACAATAACATAATATAATCCATCTGGCTTCCCAAAAAGTAGAAGGAATACTTTTTAAAATTTAAGTGTCAGAAATAGTGGCACCAACCCAAAGCGAGTGCCTGTAACCAACTAGATGGAAACAGCCAGATACAATCCTCTCAAATCACCTCAGTCTCTGAAGAGTAAGGTCAAAAAAGAAAAGTTACTTTCTGATTACTTTAACTTGTTTTATATTATCCAGGAAGTACAAGGGATCTCCAAAATGGCTGCTTAATAAATGTGGTGATGTATGCTTTTGAATAATTTATCAAAATTACAAATTAGAAGCGGGTGTCCGAAATCTGACTACCTTAATGCATAAAATGTACTAATTCAATCTCACACTTAGCTTTTCACTATTACAGGAGGCTATGAGGAGGTTAACAAAATAGTGGATAAATAATCTCTGTACTTATTTTTCTAGAAATACTTACTAAATATCAACTGGTAAAAATAACATAAAGCACCACAAAAACAAACAAAAAATCTCAGACTTGTTTAGGGCACAGTAACTTACCTCTTAGCAGTAAAATTTTTTTCCAGATCCTCATTGTGAACCAGTTTTGTATCCCCAAATTGCCACGATGACCGCAGATCACAGTTAACATCAAGCCTGCACTGGTTAAGCGTATCATGTATGAAACTATACTCCCTAGTATTGGTGCAACAAGGTGACAAGTAAACTAAAGATGAAGAAAAAGAAAAGGATGAGTAGGTACCTGTGTTTGAAATAGTGTTATCAGACAACTGTACCTCTAATATAAGACTCAAAATAACCAAGTACTTGGAATTTTCATTAACATCTGAAGGCAACAATTTATATTTAAGGCTGTACAAGAATAATACGTAATACAGACTTCCTACATTTGATATGAATCTCGCTTTTCTCTGCATACCTATTTGAATTTGTAAAATTGACAGATACAGAGTTTAGGTAATTCCTTTCAACTTAAGATGTACACTGATTCTATATACAAGCATGGTAACAGAAAGTTGGTAGCTACTGTTAGTGCATGAACACTTGTAATTTCCTAGGCAAAAATAAGGCAAACCTATATACTAGAAAATTATTTGGTTATTTTGACTTGAAAAGTACCAGGACACCTTTGTAAGTTGCTGACTAATCCAGTGGCATAAGTAAGTGGTGACGCACTTTCTCAGGGCAGTGAGCGATGTTTCAATTATTGCTGCAGTAAAACTGATGTACAAAAGGATAAAAAACATCAAGTAAAAAGAATCAGAGAAAAGCAGGGAGCAAATATGTATGGTTTCATATACACGGATTTAATAAAACCATTGCTCTTTATATTTCAGCTATCAAATCAAAAGAAGTTAAACCAATGGTTAAACCAGCTGATTAGCAAATAAACTCACTTCTCATCCCTTTCCCATTTTTAATTCTATCACTGACCCAAATAAATAAAATTTTCACTTAAATATTTTTAACAGTATCTAGTGGTTACAAATTTGAGTTTCATAAGGTATAAGATTTTGCATATTTTTTTTAAATTTTATCTTGAAATGAATACAGAGTCACAGGACAATGGAGGAACAGTACAGAAAGGTCCCGTGTACTCTTCACCCAGTTTCCCCTGGCAGAAACCTTATATATAGTACGATATTAAAACCAGGAAAATGACATGGGTACAATCCACAGACCTTATTAAGATTTTATAAGTTTTACATGCACTTATTTGCTTGTGTGGATTCATGCAGGAGCCCTGATGGCACAGTGGTTAAGGGCTCAGCTGCTACCCATAAGGTTGGCAGTGCGAATCCACCAGCCACTCCTTGGAAACCCTATGGGGCAGTTCTACTCTGCTCTATATAGTCACTATGAGTCAGAATCAGCTCGACAGTAACGGGTTTTGGTTGGTATTCATGTAACCACTACTAAAATCAAGATGCAGAATGGTCCTATTACCACAAAGATCTCCTGTGTGCTACACTTTTTTATATATAGTCAAACTCACCCACCTCCCATCCCCTTGCTTGTCCCTAAGCCCCAAAAACTACTAATCTGTTCTGCATATCTGAGGCTGTCATTTCTATAATGTTACATAAATGCAATTATGTGGTATATGACCTGTGGAAATTGAATTTTTTCACTCAGCACACCGCCCGAGATCCAGCAGAGTTGTTGTATCAATAGGTTGTTTCTTTATACTGCTGAGTTATAACATTCCATGGGATGGATGTATCACGATTGGTTTAACTGCACTCACCCAATGGAAATTTGAGTACTTTCTAATTTTTGACTATTACAAATGAAGCTGCTATGAGCATTCATGAAGAGGTTTCTGGTGGACACAAGTTTTCATCTCTGTGGGATAAACGCCCCAGAGTACACTCCTGGGTCATGTGGTAGTTACATGTTTAATTTCTGAAAGAACTGCTGAACCGTCTTCCAGAGTGGCCATGCCATTTTACATCCCTTCCAGCAATACATGAGTGATGTGGTTTCTCCACACCCTCACCAGAATATATAGCTATCATTCGTTTTAATTTTAGCTGTTCTAACAAGTGTCCAAAAATATTTCATTGTGGTTTTCAGGTTTACTTCCCTAACGGCTAATGATGTGGGACACCTTTTTATATGCGCTTATTTGCCATGCATTATGTCTTCTCTGGTGAAATATCTGTTCATGTCTCCTTCCTGTTTTCTAACTGGATTGTTTCTTTTTTATTTTTTGGACTACTGAGTTTTGAGAGCTCTTTATATATTCTAGACATGAGTCCTTGGTCAGATATGTGATTTGCAAATATTTTCTCCCCCTCTTAGCTTGTCTTTTCATCCTTCTAACAGGGTCTTTTGAAGAGCAGAAGTTTTTATTTTGATGAAGTCATTTTAGTGATTTTTTTATGGATTGTGCTTATGGTGACATGTCTAAGAACTCTTCATCTAGTCCTATATCCTGCAGATGCTCTCCTATGTTTTCTTTAAATATTTTATAGTGTTTTATTTTACATTTAAATCCAGGATTCATTTTTAATTAATTTTTGTGTGACATTTAGGGCAAGGTTTTTTTTGGGCCTATGAATGTCCAATTGCATTTCTTGAAAAAACTATCTTTCCTCCACTGAACTGCTTTTGCACCTGTCAAAAAAATCAACTGAAAAAAAAAAAAAAAAACAATTTTACGTATTTGTGTGGGTCTATTTCCGTTTCACTGATCTATGTGTCTATGCCCCCACCAATACCGTACTGTCTTGATTACTATAGCTAGATACTAAGCTTTAATATTGGGTAGAGTGATTCCATTCACTTCAGTCTTCTATCCCGAAACTGTTTTAGCTATTCTAGTTTCTTTGCCTTCACATATATAAATTTTAGAATAAGCTTGTCTATTTACAAAAAGTCTTAATGAAGTTTTGCAATAAACCTATAGACCAATTTGGAGAGAACTGACATCTTAATTATGCTTAAGTCTTCTAATCCGTGAACACATAATACATCTCTCCATTTATTCACATTTTCTTTGATTTCTCTCATCAGCGTTCTAGATTTTGACATACGACTTCTGTACGTTTTGTTGGATCTTCTCCCAAGTATTTCAGTTTTGAGCTATTATAAATGTTATGTTTTTCATTTTGCTATCTATGTGTTTGTTGTCAGTATACAGAAATACGATTGACTTTCGTATTTTGATCTTTGATCAGAGACCTTACTGAACTCACTTGTTCTAGGGGATTTACTGTATAGCTTCATCAGGATTTTCTATGTAGACTATCATGTCAACTTTAATTTGGGACAGTTTTATTTCTTCCTTTCCAGCCTATATACCTTGACTTATTGCACTGACTAGAACTTCCAGTACTACGCTGAATAAAAGTGGTGAGGGAACACTCTTTTGCCTTTTTTCCTATCTCAAGGGGAAAGCAGTCTGTCTTTCATCATTAAATGTTAGCTCTAGGTTTTTTGTACATGCTCTTTATCAAGTTGAGGAAGTTCCCCTCTATTCCTAGTGTGCTGAGAGTTTTTATCATGAATGGATGTTGCTATTTTGTCAAATGCTTTTTTATACTAATTGATATGATCGTGATTTTTCTTCTTTAACCCGTGAATATGGTGGATTACACAGATTTTCAAATACTGAATCAGCCTTCCATCCCTGGAATAAAACCCACCTGGTTATAGTATATAATTCCTTTTATATATTGCTGGATTTCATCAGCTTATATTTAGAATTTCTGCATCTATGTTCATGATGGATATTGTTCCATAGTTTTCTTTTCTCGTACTTTTTTTTTTATTGTATTTTTGGTGAAAGTTTACACAGCAAATTAGGTTCTTCTTTAACCTTTGTCTGGTTTTGATACCAAGGTAATACTGTCCTCATACAATTTTTTGGGAAGTGTTTTCCCCTTTTCTATTTTCTGGAAGAGATTATTTAGAATTTATGTTAATTCTTTTTTAAATGTTCAGTGGAATTCTCCATTGAAACCATCTGAGTCTGGAGATTTCTTTTTCAACAGTTTTCAACTACGAAGTCAATTTAATAGTTACAAGGCTATTATTTCCTTAGTATTATATGTTGAGTTTTGCTAGTTTATACTTTTTAACAAATTGGTCTGCTTCATCTAAATTGTTAAGTTTATGTGTATAGCTTGTTTGTAGTATTCCCTTGTTATTCTTTCAACGTCTGCAGACTGGTGGTGATATCTTGTTTCATTCTTGATAATCATAATTTGTGGTTTATATGTTTTCTTGTCAGTCTTACTAGAGGTTTATTGATCTTTTCAAATAGCATTTTGTTTCACTGATTTTCTCCATTGTTTTTCTACTTCTTATTTTGTTGATTTTTGTTCATATCATTATTTCCTTCCATTTATTCTGGGCTTATTTTGCTGTTGTTTTTAGTTTCTTAAGATGACAGCTTTTCTTAGGTGGCAGTGAGTTTATGTTAATGCAGGAGAAACAATTCAGAATAGGAAACAATAGCTGCAAAACTTGAAAAATGCAACTGATGTCAATGAATTGTACATGTATATATTGCTGAACTGATGTATGTTCTGTGACGTACATTATCAACAACAACAAATTATTTTTTAAAAAGAAAAAAATGATGACAGATTTTATTATTCAGTTGAAACTCTTTACTAATGTAACCATTTAGTGCTATAAAGTCCTTTGTCAGCAACGCTTTAGTGCTTTCCTTCAAATTTTGATATGTTCATTTTCATTCAGTTCAATAATCTCCCTTGAAATCCCATAAATTATTTAGAAATGTGTTCTTTACTTTCCAAGTGGAGATTTACCTATCATGTATTATCAATTTCTAATTTGAGTCCACTGTGGTTAGAGAGAACACATTCTGCATAATTTCAATTCTTTCAACCATGTTAGATTTGTTTCATGGCCCACGATAATGTCTATTCTGCTGTTGTTGAGTGGAGTAATCTATAAATGCTGATCAGATCCTGTTGGTTGACAGTAATTTCTTCTAGTATCCTTGTTGATTTTCTGTCTAGTAGGTTCTATTAAATGTTGAGAAAGGTGCACTGAAGTCTCCAACTATAATTCTGGATCCAACTCTTTTCTCCTTCCAGTTCTATCATTTTTGCTTTATGTATTTTGAAGCTCTGTTGTTTACTGCATGCACATTTATGACTGCTTTATCTTCTTGGTGGACTGATCCTCTTATCATTATGTAATGTCCCTGATAATTTTCTTTCTCTGAAATCTACACTTCATATGATATTAACATAGCTACTCCAGCTTTATTTTGGTTAATGTTTGCATGGCGTATCTTTTCCATATGTTTAGTTTCAACCAACCTGTATCATTATATTTGAAGTGAGTTTCCTTTCCTGTCAACAGTATATAGTTGGGCCATGTTTTATTATTCATTCTGCCAACCTGTCATTTAATTGGTGTATTTAGATCATTTACATTTAATACAATTGTTACGTTAGGGCCAAAGCCTGCCATTTAATTGTTTATTTTCTGTTTTAGCTCATTTCTGTTTCATTTTTTGTGCCTTCCTGTGAGTTACCTGAATGTTTTAAAATTCCATCTTAACTATGGTGTTTTGAGGGCAGTGGTGGTTCAGTGATAGAATTCTTGCCTTCACATGGGAGAACCAGGTTTGATTCCCGGCCAATGTTCCTAAAGCACAGTCACTACTTGTATGTCAGTAGAGGCTTGCATGTTACTATGATGATTAACAGGTTTCAGTGGAACTTCCAGACTAAGATGGACTAGGAAGAAAGGCCTGGAGATCTACTTCTGAAAATCAGCCAATGAAAACCCTATGAATCACAATGGTCTGACCTCCTTGTGCAAGGGGTCACCATAAGTTGGGAACTGACTTGACAGCAGTTAACAATGGTGTTTTATAAAACCTTTAATTTTGAGATAACTGTTAGAGTCACATGAAGTTGTAAAATATAATAGAGATACATACTCTTGACCTTGTTTCCTCCAATGATAACATCTTTTGTAATTATATCACAATCAGAAAATTGACGCTGATCTATCTTCAAGTTCACTGATTCTTGTCACTGTCTTCTCCATTCTTCTAACTACCCAATCTAATGAGATTTTATTTCAATTATTGTATTTTTTGGTTCCAAAACTTCCATTTGCTTCCTTATTATATTTTCCATTTCTTTGCTAAGATTTAATATTTTTTTATTTGTTTCAAGAGTGTTTGCAATTGCTTGTTGAAACATTTTTTATGACAGCTGCTTTAAAATCCTTGTCAGATAATCCTAAAACCTCTGTCAGCTTGGTGTTGGCATCTGCTCACTGTCTCTTCCTATTCAAGTTGAGATTTTTCTGGTTGTTGGTAAGACAAGTTATTTTTTATTTATTTTGGGTAATGTTATGAGACTCTGGACCTAAACGTGATTAAATCCTGTCTTAGTTCTACTCGAGCCATGCCAGCAGGGGGAAGGGGGATCTGAATCTTTACCACTGGGTAAGGTTGAAATCCTGGCTCTCCACGTGCCTCCACTGTCACCCTGGAGGTGGCTGCCATTTTATCACTGGACAAGGGTGGACGTCTACACTCCCCACTCAACTGCCATTGACACTAATTGCCACTGACACTGTGGGAGGGAGAGAGATGCCTTGTTATTGCTGAGCATGGCAAAAATCCAGGCTCCACACCTGATCTATGCTGACGCCACTCCGAGTGGGGAGGGGTTACTCATCACCACAGGGCAGGGGCAGGAGGGAGGAGAATTTATTACTACAAGTCCAGGCTCCCTACTTGGCCTCCTCTATAGCGTCACTGGAAACACTGGTGGTGTAGTGGTTAAGAGCTACAGCTGCTATGCAAAAGGTCGGCAGTTTGAATTCACCAGGCGCTCCTTGGAAACCCTACCAGTTCTACTCGGTCTTATCAGAATCGACTCCACGGCAACGGGTTTGTTTTGGTTTACAGGGTCACTAGGAGTCAGCATTGACTCAACAACGAGGTTTTCTTTTTGGTAGGGTCACTATAAGTTGGAATCAACTACCCAGCAAAGGGTTTGGGTTTTCTTGTAATACTACCCCAGCAGAAAGGAATGGTATAGGTCTAAGTCTAGACCCTCCACTTAGCCTTTGCAGACAAAAATACAGGGGTCATGGTTTTTCTCCTTGGTGTTTTTTAGGAGTAGACCATTTATTGTCAAATAGGCTTCTGTCTTTCTAGTCTACTCCTTCCACTTTGCAAGAGAGAGCAAGCTCTCCTTGGGGCTTTTTTGCCTGTACCCACTGGTGTCTCTGGGTTGTGGGCTTCTCTGGCTTCCAGTCTGAGATACTTAGGAGACGTAAAGAAAACCCAGGGAATTTCTACTGTGTTGTTCCTCAAGTCCCAGGATCCACAGTTGGTCTGCTGTCTCTCTACACTTAAGAGTCTGTTTCATACATACGTTTAGAGTTTTTAGGTGTACTTAGTAGGGGGGATAGGAGAAATGCATCTACTTCATTTTGTCTGGAACCGGAGCTCCGTGTATGTTTAAGGTATTAAAGAGCTAACTTAACCTGATTTTATAGAGAGACAAAACAGAAGTAAACGTGAACTAAGAATCAGAGAAATACAATAATAAATATTTTAAAAATCTCATCTCCCATAGAAACATTACCTTTACCAGCTGTCCTTCTGATCTTTGGAATGATGAATTTCTTCAAAGGATTGGCTTCTACACCAGCAATCGATAAAGGTTCACTGGTTGAGCCCATTTTCCATAAAGTCTTATGTTTAGCAATCTGCTTCACTTCCATTTTGTCGTTGGCCTAAAATAAATCCAAAGTTATTAAGCAGAAAGTCTATAAATGCATAAGTGGCAATGGCAGTAAAATTGTTTAAAAGTTCTTAAGTGAAATTAATAAAAATATATCCTTGGTCACACTAAAAACAGGTTTCAGTATCAATTTGCTAGGTTACCCGAAACAGAAAATGAATCAACAACTTGGCTTATATATAGTATTAAAAATATTTATTTTGTAGTTTCTAATAGACTTCTTCCTGTAATTCATGTCATTGTAATTGGGTAGGCTAAAAGCTTCTGTGCTCCTGAAAAGCTTAGTAACTTCCAAACATAATTTTTATAAGACATCTGGTAAAATTCTTGCCAAATATTCTAATTTTTTGAAGTGTTCTTCTTATACACTTCTGTCACCTTCAAATCAGAATCCTTGGCTTTGGGAAAACTTAGGGAAGTTATTGTGATCATTAATTTTATGTGTCAACTTGGCTAGGCTATACGATTCCCAATCGTCTGGCCAAATACTAGACTAGATCTGTTCCATCAAGTAATGTAATATAATGTACTCACTTTCCATAATGAAATCTAATTAATCGACCAATCAAAAGGGGAGTTTTGTTAGGCTGTGGTCTGCCTCGGGACTATTAAAAGGTATTTTGGCACAACTCACTTTCTGGACTCTGCACTCTTCCTGTCACCTGACTTACGGATTTTGGGATGCAAGCCTGCAGAAGTCTCCTGCCTGCCGCCTGACCTGTGTATTTTCGACTTGCCAGGCCTTTTGCCCCCCAATCCTGTGAGCTGGGAGGAGTAACCAGCCTGTTGCCTGACCTATGGATGTTGGACTTGCCAGTCCCTATAACTGTGTGAGTCAATCCTTTGAAGTAATCAATCAATATCCATCTATCCATCCACCCACCCATCTACCCATCCCTCTCTCTCTCACTGGTTCTGTTTCTCTGGAGAACCCTAAGACAGTTGAAACAAACTATTTCATGGATATCCCTACAGTTGATGACCCATAACTGACTGGCTACTGTATTCAGTAACATGTTCCATGGTACTACTCTGTAAATGGCTCAAGACAACATCACATACTGTTATTCTAGAAGTAAAAAGACTTACTTTTTATGCTTTAACATAGTAAAAAAAAGATCAAAACAAACAGTTCTCTCCTTCCTTTCCTTCCTCCTCCATCTTCCTCTCTTCTGCCCCTCTTTCTCTGTCACACATACATAAATACTGATTCTTAACCTTTCAAGCAGAACTCCAACTGGATATCAAAGGACAGCTACAGACCCTTCACACAGAGAAATATATTTAAACATGAATTTTTCATACCATTTTCTAAAGTTCATGGGCCTTCTGCTACCTACCCACTGCTTAGTTCAAATGTTGGATCACAATCCAAATTAAGAGTTACCAAGATTCTACAGAGGCTCACAAAGGGTAGGATTCTATAGGAGGGTCACAAAGGACTTCCCCCCAACCCTGCCCCTCTTCTGCCCTTTAGGAAAGATGATCTTGCAATCTCCCAATCAAACATGGATCAGAATAGGGACAGAAAATGGACAGAAACTGCTAGAAGGGAACAAAATCAGCCTTTCTCTCATCCAGTCAAAATTTAGATACGAGCAGTGGTGCCTCCAAATAACAGTTCCCTTAAGATACACCAGCCTCTAGAGATAATCGTCAAGACTGCCATGTCACCTGGCAATTTAGTAAGGGGAAGAATGGAGAATAGTTTATGTAGAATGACTCAGATTACAAAAGATCTCTTTAATTAGTCATGATCTATATTAACTGCTCACAAAGGTATATAATGATCAGTTCAATATACTGTACTCAATAAGTCAAGTGTTGAGACAATCCTCAATACTGCCTTTAACTACAGGTAAATTAGTTACTCAGGATATCCAGATAGTATTTCATCTGTATGGTTTATTACCAAATGTTTTTCTAGTATAACTTACTAATAAAGACTACTGAGTATCACATTTTACTCCCCAGTGCTTAGAACAATACTTAGCCACACAGAAGCCATGTAAAAACTGGAAGATGATAAAAACTAGTGAGCGGCCATCTTAAGATGCATCAATTGGTCCCAACCTGCCTGGAGCAAAGGAGAATGAAGAACACCATGGACACAAGGAAAGTATTAGCCCAAGAGACAGAAAGGGCCACATAAACCAGAGACTTCATCAGCCTGAGACCAGAAGAACTAGAT